GGCGGCGGCGCGCGCGCGCGCGCACCGACTCCCGGCGATCGGCTTTATAAATAAGCGTCGGCGAGAGCGGCTCCCGGCGCTCGCTTCTCGCAGGTGCTCTTAAAAATCGTGCGACGACGGCCCCCCGGGCGCAGCCACGACCTCCGGGAGTCGACTGTCGCCTGGCCGCCGCCGTCGCCGTCGCAGCCGCCCGTGGTCCGCCCGCGATATACGACAACGGATCGGCGATGCCCGAGGAGATGGAACCCGTGGACTGGCCGCCGATCCGGAGGATCCAGGTACACCGACCGACCGACCGACCGACCGATCCACCCCTTGCCCGGCCTCGTGATTCCGGGCCGACGACTATAGATTCTCGTGCAGCTTCGACTCGACGAGGCACATAACTTGGCCTCTATTTTATTTTTCACTATCGCGCGTGTGCGTCGTGGCCCTTGTGCATTGTGCTTTTATTCGGTTCTCGCTCGCGGGACAAGCAGTTGTGCTCGTTCGTACGATTTTTTTTACCTTCGGTCTGGGTTCGCGCGATCCAAGGGAGCAAGAGAGAAAGACCGTGTGTTGGACGACGTTCGGTGCCGTGGACGCGGTACTGGCGATTTAGACGTGGATAGATGCCCCCGGCCACCTTAGCAAATTAATATCTTTTCTTCGATAGTCGTTAGTCGCTTACCGAATAATAATTTTACTTTCTCTTTCGTACGCGCGGAAACAAAAATATTAAGACAAATTAATTATTGTTACGACGAGTCTTTTTTCCTTTTTTTTTTCTTTTTTTTTTTATAAGTCTTATTGTTTTTGGCCCCAATGCATTGAGTGTTTGGATGTGTATTACGAGCATCGTTAATGGATCTGAAGTTTTTGAATGATATTTCCAAGAGACTGAACTTATTTACTGTAAAGCTTCCACGTATTTCTAAGACTACTTAGAGAGGTGTTTCATGAAACGAAATTTTCCAAGTTAAAAATAGGCTCCGAAGGTCTTTTATCGCAAGTTTTCATTCGAGAGAGCAAAGTTTGCTTGCTTTTATCATTTATTAATTATTTGCATTTGTATTAACTGTCATCAAATGCCGCTGTTTGGTAATTAATATCATGCATTTTTTTTTATTTAAAATTATAATTATTTATAGACTCGATAATAATATTTACGATTAAACTTCATACAATTAATTGTTATTATTGTGATAGATTGTGATAGTGATTTAACCAAAAGTACTTAGATTTTGATTTAAAAAAAAAAAAAAAAACTACTTTTTATAATACAAATATAACCTTTTTTTTTTTTTTTTTTTTTTTTTTTGTATACCAGATATGTTTTAAAAGTGAACACACGGGATTCCATAATAAATTTTCAATTGTACCTATACTTACCTATATTTTATTACGTAATTATTTAACGCCATTTATTGACGTAAATTGTTTTTTCATTCTTATTTATAAAATTTTGAAACTTGCTTAATTGTAATATATCGATTATTTTATAAATTCTGAGGCGTTAAGAAATGATAGTCTTAATAAAAAGAAAAACGTTTTTTAAAGACTTTCAGTAGGATTTATAACTAACAATTGTATAATTGTAACAATTGCCGGGTGAATAAAATATTTTTACACTTGTTTTTGAAATACACTTGGCATCGTTTGTATTCAAATTTAAAAAAAATTCTTGAATAATTTACTTCAATAATATTTACGATTACGATTGATTAAACGCTACTAAATATATTTAAAATATTTTTATACACGTTAGTTATTAAGTGTTTTTCGAGAAATACAAAAAAATGTTATTTAAGCAGTGTTTCTCATAACAATTTGGACCTTTTCATATATCAATAGTGAAAATTACATCTTATAAGATATAAGTAAAAAAATTTGTTTATAGTATATACGTGCATTTCAAGCGTAAAATCATCTCCCCCCCCCCTCCACATTTATAATTATAGAATGTGCCCTACAATATATATATATATATATATATATATATTTATTATCTAAACTAATTAATTAATAATATTCTTTTTAATTCGACGTTTATTTTACATAATTCTTTAATTTATTTTTGTTACATATGTAAATATAAATATTTACATTTGTATCGCAATCAATGCTTCGAAATAACAAAATTAAGGCTTTTTATAGATACTTATAAGTGACACAATTTAACCCGACTAAATATAGCCTTTACACGCAGAATAAACGAGATTTTGTATTACAATAAAAATTACTTAACATAATCTTTACCATATAAAAATTTATCTTTAAATTAATCTTTGAATGTGAGCTTGAATGTTGGCCATCGGGACAAAGACATCAAAAGATATAAAAAAATAAAAAAAAAACATTAATTTTGCGCTCCTAATGATAGCATAAACTTCGCAGTCATCCTACCTAATCACGACATAAAAATCTCGCGGTTTCTCGTATCATCCTTCAAACTATTGGAACAACCACGAATTTGTTTTATAAATAAAACCATGCGCTCCATCTGCGGCCAGATATATATATATATATTCATCTCTTTCTCTCTCTCTCTCTCACTGTCTCTCTGTTTCTCTCTCTCTGAAATGCAGACAAGCACTAAGTTGCAAGTTTTGAGTATCGGCGTGCAAATTCTTAAGCTCACGTCGTCGATAGTTAGTTTGGTTGCACGCGGGGGCGGAAAATTTATTTGTTAAGAGATAATGACGAAAACGTTGATGATGACTATAGTACAACGTACAATATCATTGGAGTCTTCACTATCTAACTTTTATTTTATGTGTACTCCTGTTTACCTAGCTTAACTATTTTTGACGTCATTATTATGACTGTTTGTGTTTTTGTGTGTGTGTGTTTTTGTGTGTGCTGTCGCACGCGCGCGCGTATTTGTGCATGTGTGCGAAAGTTAAAAGTTACTGGCGACTGATGAAAAAAGGTCGTAAAATTTTGATTTATTATATTTGCCGTATTCTTCGTGCCTTACAATCTGTTTTCTGGCAAATTGTAAAGCTTTTCGAATTATACACATATCGTAAGTCTAGTTTACCTATCAGGGTTATCAGATTAATATTTTGGCAGTAATGCGCTTAAAATATGCGCTTAAGTACTTTTAGCTTTTTATTAAGCACACATTTTTCGAACGTATTTCTTTGAAATAAAGAAAATTTTTTTTTATTTTTACTACTTATTGTTTAAATAAATCATTTAAATTGTTCACTAATACGAAATTAATGCTTTGAAGATTACAAACTTTTTAGAGTTTTTACGATAATTAATATAACGAACCCGTATGTTTTGTCTATTGACAGATTTTTAAAATTTCAAATAAATTCTACTACTAAAATAGCCAGCTACTCGTACAACATAATAAGTGTTATTCAATTATCGTTTAAATTTAAAAAGCTGAATTAATTGATACAGATTTTTATTACAAATAATTGTGTGAGAAAACGGTTGATTATACTAAATCATTCGAATTTTCTATTATAAAAGTAATTGTAAGTTAACAAGCTTTCTCTTTTCACTATTAATTTTGTACCATTGAAAAGAAACTTCCAAAATACGACAAACATAAATGTACAACTGTGTTTATATTTGTGTACACATAAAGAAATAGTCAATATATATATATATATATATATAAATGTACTTTAATTCAGAATTTTCAGAACCGCCCGCTGGAGCTACTAATAATTTATTAATTATTGCGATATTATATTGAGTTACTAATCAATGAAATGTGGATGTGTGCGAAATATATTAATTTAGAGAAATTATTTTTATACATTTATCGTCAGCTTTAGCCGACATGTCATAAAATTATCTTATTTATAAATCGTTGCTCGATGTGGCAGTAAGATTTTTTATAAGTATTGTTCTTTTTAGAGTAAAAACTCATAACTTAAAGTATTGTGATTTCAAACTGGAGTATAAAAAGCCCTGCTTTTTATATTAATTTAAGCAATATTTTTGATCGATTAGATGGAAACATTCCTACAATACTTATACGAGCTTTATTTTTGAAAAATCGACATACTTGATTATATTTCGTCTTTTTGTCGCATACCCTAGATTTCCCGCTAATTGGATACATCAAGGAGAAAAGTGGAAAGGGCGCGTTAACAGCTACGAAATAAGGGCGCTCATAAATTCACAATATCTCATCAAGGTCGAATTTCCTTAACATTCTCTTCTGGAAGAAAAGGAAAAGTAGCGGAAGTAATGCACCGTATGGTCCGTTTCTCTCCTTCTCCACCTTTATACTCTTCTCATGCTTGCCAACGCCTTATTGATCGTGAGAGCGTGTGTACGAGGGTCATATCGTGTGGGCGTATCCTGCAAGAATCCTGCGCTTAAATTTCCCTATTCTCATGGCATATACATATTACCTAACTTTTATTCTTCTTTCCTAATGTTGCATTTTTTTTATTTAAGTTAATCCCCCCTCCCGCCCCTTCCAACAGCAATCGAATAGGTAAGGAATTTTTCGTCGTGGCTCTCTAAATTATTCTACACTTTTTCGAAACAGTAGGAATATTAAATTCCAAGGAACAGCTGAACCTGGTGTAAACCAATAATCATTGTGAGCTCAATTTTTCGTTCATTTGAAAGATTATAAGATGCTTTTATCGTTGGATGTAATATGAAAAATTTGAACGCATAATGTAATATATAATACGTAAGCCTTAACCTTCGTTAATTTATATGTATAAACAAAGCTACGAATACTAATTTATTTTTGTAACTATAAATTTAATATTCGCCTTCATTTGCAACCACCATCATGGCCACCTTCATTTTGTATTCTATTTATTTTTGAAAATTCAGGGACAAATTATGTAGCATCAGTATCAATTAATTAAAGTGAATTGTCACGTTTATATGTTAATTATAGGGAATATAAATCAATGTCTATATAAGTAAATAATGCATTGTATTTTGTAATAAAATTAAATGTAAAATTAAATGTAATGGTGAAATAATTTATAGCGGGTACAAAACAATTTTCAACTTATTTTCAAATTAAGTTTAGTCTTTTTTAATTAAACGTTTGTTTCTCTTTAATATTAAAAATTGCTCAACTTATCATATAAGTTATTTATTGAATATTAAGCATAATGAATATTTAATTAAATTTGCTGATTGATTGATTGTTACATATATTTTCACTCTTATATGAAAAAAAAATAATAAAGCATAAATTTCTTTTACTTAATGATTAAGAAGTTGGATGATAGATCATTATAAATCGAATAAAATTTTTATTAATTTTGAGGGAATATTTTCGTATTGGCTAAGCTTC